GCACCGTTGTTTCAGGCAGCAGGCTCCGATGGCTCGGTCACGTGTTACGCATGCCAGCCCACCGACTTCCGCGACGTGTGTTGTTTGCGCGCCGGGGGTGTGGATGGAAGAAGAAGAGGGGTGGCCAAGCGATGACTTGGTCCAGAGGAATGAAGACCCTCACTTCTGAACTGGCCTCGGTTGGGGCGTCATGGCTCCCTGGTTGGGGTCCGAAAGACGATGAACACGTTTGGTTGGACACCCTTGCTGATATGGCTAGGAGCCGACCTCAGTGGCGTTCATGCTGAGTTTCTTTGTTCTACTCCATCCCTTTTAGCCTCCCCCTCCAACCACGATCTCATTGCTTAGCCTTATATAGTTTTGCACAATAATTTTTTTGGGTGCACAGCAGCCGGCTGGTAGCTTACCGGAACGATGCCCATCCGTTACCGGTAGCTCAGCCAGCTTTCACCAGTTGTTTTCTTTTTCTCTCTCACTTTTTCTTTGTATTGCGGCACAGTAGCTGTGGTGTTCCCCACCTCTAGCTAACGTGTATGATGATGATAAGATGAGATGAGCAAAGCAAAGTGATAAAGTTTATTATGCTGCAACTTGCAGCGATGGTTACCAATTAGTTTGGGAGGCCTTAGCTTCTTCTTTTGAATGGGACCAAAATGTTTCCCGGAAAGCTCCCGATTGTTGCGGTTACACACGTGGAACTCGACAAATAGTACACAAAGGCTGAGAACTGCAGCAAGAGTATAATCTTCACAAGTTAGTTTCAAGAAATGGAAGCGCTGAGTAGAGTTCGTCGAACTGGTTCGAACGAGCGGACGCACAATATTTTGTGGGGATGATTAGAGTGGCCACAGATGGCAAAGCGAGAGCCAAGTTAAAGTGCGACCGTACAGCGTGGGTACATGCGCAGAAAGCACACTCTTAAGTTAGCTTGAATAGTGAGATATTTTGATAACTGCACTAGGATTTCAGAGCACGTCTCACGAGACATGGTCACGAAACGATCCAGACTGCCGCCTAGCTCCATAACGCAGCACATCCTAGACTGTGCATCGTGCCAAAGTCCTCGGCAATCGTTCAGTGTCATTTGCCAACAGAATCGTGCCCGCTTGATTCTGTTCACGGAAGCTTCAGCGATTTGGCGACGGAAGTCCAAGTTGTGCAACTACACTGAGTGTACGGCATGACTTTGCCGTGATGAGGTTAAGGATCACTTCTATTTAAACCGAATGTGTTTGCCCACTGCTTCCACTTGTACGCCACGTGCTAATTTCATGGAGTGTATGTATACAGCTGACGAGAAAATGCGAAATACCTGAATTCAATATATCCTGTTACAATGTCTTTTCGCTTGCTATTTTGAAATTTGTAAAAGGAAAACCCTGCATGTACCTCCGTTCTTTATCAGGAACTACTACATGCAGGTCATTCGACTGCTTCGAACACAACGCGATTGCAGAGGAAGGTGACAATGATGGGTCTTTGGTTGTGGTAGTGATGTCCCAAAAGCTGCTGACGCAAAAATATTCGGTCAACATATCCATGACCACGGCACAAAAGCCTGCCGGCACCTCCCAGTAGTGTGTCTTAGGAGTTAGCGACAGCCTATGGATGGATTCTGATATGTTAGGACTAGCCGATATTGAAGGTATATCTTTGTGATTTATGCATGGAAAACGGAGACTTCCTTGGAGGTTGGGACGGTTGCCGCTTCTCTTTTAGAAGCAGGAAATGTTTTATTCTTGCCAGCTCTTTAGCAACAGTGAGATTAAGTGTTTGACAATTGCTGCGCACTGGATATATAAATGTCCGGTCCACCTAACTCCGCGTCTGCGCAAATTAACGATCTGCTGTCCTTCCGACACAGAGGTAACCTCTTTGATACCAGACCTGTGGACAGCAGTTCGAATAACCAGAAAGAGATTGAGTATTTTTTGAATGTGGCGACTTCCGTCTCCCAAGTAAGTTGTAGCCACCGAGCTTCCAGATGGCCTCGAAGAGTACAACTGAGTTGTAAGCCGAAGTGCGTCCATGCTCATTATGTACGACTTTTTTAGGAAAATTCACCTGTGACCATACAATGGTCTTCGCACAAAGTCTGAGGGGTGGTTTCGTTGTCCAAGGTAGTAGGTGATGCTCATTAGGTGGCAAGCGACTAACTTGTGCACCGAGCTCTATAAGGCAAACATAGACTTACGATATGATGGCTTTGCGTAAAAGCCGACGAAATTGACAATGAATATCATCTTTATCAAGTCACGGTTAGAATCGGCTGACGCTTGAGCGATCACAACACACAATTTCAGCCTTTCATCCCAATGACTGTTAATTATTCATGAGTCCTGAAGCCGAACTACACATAGTCGGCTCTTAACCGAGGTCCAATCAAGGACAACGACTTCAGCTGTCTCTTAATGCCCCACCCACTCCGGACAATAAGCTTGACTGTTTTCGCGTCTCCAGAGGAGCCCCGGTAGTAGGTGGCTTCAGGACTTGTCGGAGATGTTAATTGAAGCACTACAGTTAGAATTTTCATATGGGTTTCGGGAAAGCAGCGGAGATAATTAGGGATAGAATTCAGAACGCACGTCAGACGGGTATGTTATCTGATCTGCATAAATGTTCGAACACTGAAGTTTGTCAACGGAAATGACCATGGCTGTCGAAGGATAGCCTTAGGCACTGTTTAAAGGCAACAGAGGGAGTGGTATCCAGATTAACTTGCGATTAGCATGGATTAATAACAGATGAATAATGCAGCTGTAGTAGTAGAGGTTAGTAAAAGCTAGAAAGAGCAGAGTGTAACGACATAGCAGCATAACTCATGATTTTTTCAGAGGGTCTGATAACACACACCGTGTCTTTAGCACAACAGCCTAAGCGCAAGTTAACGGGTCGAATTCATGGAAGTGCATTCATTAGCACCTGGTGACCGACTTATGTGTTCGTAAGCCTGTTTTTTGGTGAGTTGCCAAATGGGGTATGAATCCAACCAGAATTCATGTGCGCATCTGCCGTAGTATAATACATTCCTGAGGCTGAGTAGGGTACAGTGACTTTAACTAGTGGCGGGTTACATCCGTCACGTCCCAGCATTGTTATGCAAGCAAAAGTCCACCATGTTTCGGAACACTGCTACCAAACGTTTTTCTGGAACAGAGTAATCTTGAATCACCCAGCTGATACCACGAGAGGCAGTTCGGCAAGCCATTAGCGATCATAAGACTCGATTAACGTCTGTGCGATGCATTGTCTTTAACGGTAGTTCTTTTTGGTAGGTTCATCGTGCGCTGCACTAATGTGATCTTGTTCATCCCCAAGGATGCCGGAAGATGGGTTTAGCTCTAGTATTATGCAGCTAAAAGTCTCGAACGTTTCTTAGTCATGTTTCACCGCAGCATCTCATATTGTATTAACCAACCGTAGTACTCTTCAAATCAGATTGTTGACCATGTTTCTATTTCCAGCTTGCAAGCGACTATGGGACAATGGAACAATAGCTTAATACGGGTAAAAAGTTTAAAGCTTAAATGGTCCCATAGGATGATCATGGCGAAAATACAAACTAAAGATTTGTCAGCAAAATTAGTTTCACACAGATGGACTAACTGCGGGATACATAGTATAAACTGTAATTCCACTGTTAACCAGTAAGGAATGATGACAATTGGGACGTTGGTAAAAATCGTGCCACCTTCTGGTGAACACATACAAGAGAGGAAAATGTGGAACGTATTCTGGGATACAACCGGTAATTCAGTCTCCAATGGACACTCGCGTCTGGCCATGAGCAATAAGTCCTGTCAGATGCTGCAACAAAATGAGTTCATAGTCAACTCGGGCTTTGAAGTCCACCAACTTGTTCGCGCAGATGACAGCATTCAGTAGGGCATTTCACGCTTGGTAAACGCGTACGGAAAAGAAATTCCGACGACCTTCCAAACCATTGTATTGCTCTGCCAGTTTGAGGTAGTAGTTTCTCTCAAATTACTGTTGGGACTGCTCCAGCAAACGGCGGTTAGTGTGGTTAAGAGCCCTCAAAATCGGGTAAGTCTTAATAAAGTCCCCACTTCATCTCCGATATCGTTCGCCGATGGCGAAGTTGAAAGCATTTTATGCCCTTTCAAGTCCTCTTCCCGGCTGTATGGCCTTCTTGTTCTAACAAAGAAATTAGATTCTGGTGAGTCGCAGCATCATATTAGTTTAACAAGCACAATGAGTTTAGGGTGTTCCGGAGAAGACTTTTGTACGAATGCTTTGGAGCATTCTGCGGAAATTTTGTGATATCTCATTAGTATTGTATTTATCTCCATTACATGTGACACAATCACAGACTTTTTACTTTGGAAAAAGGGGACTCTACCTTTCCTGACTTTGCTGTGACCTTTCGAGCAATCCGGATGTCAACGTGCCCAAATTGCGACGGTCACCCAGTAGGGATCGTCTCTTTGACGTATCGGCTCGCCAGTTCACGGACACATGCGATCGATATTTGCGAATCTGTTGTCATTTTTCTTTATTGACCCACTAGCCCAATTGGTGTCAACAGCCGAGCTGTTGAAAACGTAATCAGTTAAAGCATAAGTTCCACATCCGAGCCAAGTGAGTCGAGCATGCTCATAATTCCGAAACAAAGTTTAGCAAGGAGATGCCGTGATGCCGTGCTACAGCTGAACGAAAGTTGAAGGCGGCAATTAGAACATATTCCTACAGGGTCTCCATTTATGAATGCGATCAAGCGCCTAATCTTACACCGAGAGGCTGTTGGAAAATAATACCAAATGGGATCCATTGCAATTACACCATCACCTTACGATTATGAGTGCAAGTTGATTACCACATTCGGTGAAGTGCGACTGGGTTCCTTGCGTTTGTATATAGGGGATATCACGCTTGGTTGTAGGACCATTGTCTCCATTTCTAAGTGCTAACTTACTCTAGCGTGTTCCTCGCTAACGTTGCAGTGACTTTTCAACTTTTTCTTTACTCAAACCTCTTCCTAGCCGGATACTGCAAAGTCGTCGGAGTAACTCGCATTCCGTATGGACACGTACCAGTTGCACTTTCCCATGGTGAGCTATGTCTTCTCAGTCCGACTGGACGGTTGATCGTGCAGCAGTTGGCAACCCATGCTTTCCGACCCTACAGCAATGCAGCGATTAGCGGGAAGCAAGTTGAAGAAAAGCGGACAGAGGCCATCACCAAAGCAGAAGCTCCGGAAGAGGTGGGACAAAAGGTGGACTCAAACTTGAAGCGAAATGTCGGGAAGGATCTACAGAGCGCAGATTTAAACAAACTGACTCAAGTTGAAGTAAGTAACGCGTCCGTCATGATTTTCCATATATGACCTATGAGTTTGTTTCACGGTAGAATTCGACTGCAATGGCGCCTATTGAAACCTGTTGAGTGACAGGCCATCATGTAAAACCCCCATCAATTATGGGCTTTGTTGCTGTTGATGAGCTTTCCTCCAATCGAAAGATTGGCGAGGTTTCATCCATATTCGTCAGTTACATATTAGGTTCATTGTCCACATTCATTGGAGTATGCCCTGCCACTTTCGGTCTATGTCATGACGGAGTGTCCTGGAGAATAGTTTTCTGAAATCTGTTGACCTGACATTTAATGTAAACAAATCCGCTTCCTGTCGATTACGAGGGATCAGAATCCCGGTTAAGCAACCGCATAGTATCGCGTCCGCTGCAAAAAATCATGGATCACACCGCAGTTTTGCATTCTCTCGCTCATGCCTCCTTCGCTTCTCACCAAGCTTCATCCCACTCCAGTGATTCTTCTGTTCATAATCCCAGTTTCCATCGACTTGATTCCGCAACCGGTTTCACTACTGCCCGTGATGTCCTGCTTGAGGCTATTCTTCGACCCTGATCTTCGTTGCGGCTGGCAGCTCTCAATGTCCGGACGCTCATGCAGATTGGGCAACCGGCCGGCGTTGTAGGTACTCTGAGTTCTCTCGCCATTGATAGATGCTGCCTTTCTGAAACGCGATGGCAAGACCCAAGTACTGTGCCACTCGAAATCTCGACCAACCAGGAAGGCACATACTACTTACCTTTATTGGCGACGCGGAAGCTGCTTCCGCTGCCTTGGCCGGCATTGGCGTTGCGCTAAACAACAAAGCCGAGGTCATACTCCTTGGTTGATTCCCAGTTAACAGCCGACTAGGTGCGATTCGCCTCCAAAGCTGATGCAGGATTACTAGACATCGTGCTGTAAGGCGCAATCTGTTAGTAGTTTCTGCCTACGCGCCAACCGATTGTAACCCTGAACTGAACAAGTACATGTTTTACCACCAGCATCATCAGCTATTATGCAAAGCCGCCAAGTCGGAGGTCATTGTCCTCGCCGGTGACTTCAACACACGTGTCGGTCGACTGTTCTCAAGCGAATATCATCTGCGTGGTCATCATGCACTGAAAGAGAGTCGTTCAGATAATGGAACCAGACTTCTCAGTTTGCGCGAAGACAAAGGCTTATTTTTCGCAAGCACAAACTTCAAGCACTCAAGGAGACGCTCTGCCACCTGGTGTTCTCATTCACCGTCGCACGCTTGGTACCAAACAAACCATATTTCACTCAGTTTCATCTAGCATGGCAACATACAACACCGTAGCACATCTTGGTCTATCTACCTAGATTGAGAACACACACTGAGCTGTGCTAAGATTTGCATACGATTCGGAGGAAATCAGAAACGGAAGCTTCGTAAGCTTGTTGAAAACGGGCTAGCTGATCAGTCGGCTCAGCTTGACTATCAAATATCACTGGCAAGCACACTAGCCTGTGTCCCGCCCACTGATACTGAACACTACTGGAAGTTCTTGCAGCGAGCAATGTTAACTTCAGGAATATCGGTCTGTGGGTTATTTCATCACCCGTGGAATGGTTGGATATCGACATGCTCCCTGACACTGTTCGACTGCCGTCGAACTCACTTAGTAAACCAAGACCAGAATGAAGTTTAACCGTATTATCAGCAGACAACTCAAACTAGACCTTCACAGCGCTCTGGAAGTTTGGTGGCCCCAACGCGCCTTGGAGATGGAAGCCGCTGAATCACTGCAAACACCCTCAGGCGGTTTGAGCTCATTCTGACCACTGGACACAAGAGATCTGGTATCAGCGAGATCATCTGTAAGGCGGACGGGTCACAAATCACTAATTTGCAAAGACTCATGGACAGATGGGCTGAACACTTCCATTCTCAGCTCCTTTGTTCTTCGCCATCCAACTTTACACTTAGTACACCCAGTCGCATACTATAGTTTGTCTTGAGCTTCGTCACTTAAAACGCTTCAAGGCAGCTAGCTCAGTTGAACGTCCCCCAGAGTTGTTCAAAGATGGCGGTACGGCAGTCGTATAGCAGTTAACATCCCTGTTTTCGGAGATTTGGCAGTAAGAAATGGTCCCCTCATTTTGGGGAGTCAATCATTTTTCCAAACTTCAAGTAGGGTACTCAAACTTCGTGGGACAATTACAGAGGCATTAGTCTGATATCTATTGCCTCCAAGCTATCAGCATCCATCGTGCTCCGCAAGTTATCCCTTACTTATGAGTTACACTAACGGGAGGAGCAGGTAGGTCCTTACCCTGGTCGAGGATGTGTGCATCAATGTTTCACTATTTGCCAAATACTGGACCATCGTCACTTCTACTGTAGACCCAGCATCGTCACTCGCCTGGATATTCGGGATGCGTTCGACTCGGTAGATGGACCTGCTTTGTGGAACTGCCAGCTTAAGAATGGAGTTCCGGTAGATTGCGTCGCTATATTTCGCTCGCTATGCCTCCACACTTCAGGCCGAGTGAGAGCCTATGGCACGGTTTCCCCACTCTTCTGTCACCAGTGGCGTGCGATAAGGATAATTAATGGTATCGTTCCTATTCAACTTTGCGATCGACGATGTACTTTTGGCAGCTTTGGAGGGCTTGCAAACTTCGGCATCCATCTTCTTCCTGGTAACCGCAAGACAGACTTAGACTGTGTTGATGATATCGCCTTGCTCGATCATGACCTCATGGGATGCAATCGCTCATTGATTGATTGGTGATTGAGTCGTCTAAGTTTGGTAAATTCTTCACCCCCTTCAACTGCAAAGTTCTTCTACAGGAGTGGCAGACCCCTTCTCCCATTCACCATCGAAGGCACACAGCTCGAACGCGTAGGTATTTTTATCTACCTTGGGAGCTGCATCTCTACAGACGACACTATCGGAGCAGAGGTGTGCCTTCGTATCGTTAAAGCCTGCTTAGCTTTTGCCAACTTAAGACATTTGTACCTCCGTCGCGACATTTCACTCTCGCTAAAGCGCATGGTTTACAAAGCCTGTGTACACGCGATATTGCTGTACGGATAGGCATCCTGACCAATCCGTGTGCAAAACATGCTTACTCTTTAGGCCTTCGACAGTAGCTGTTTGTGAAAGGATTACCTGCGTGTGTCGGCAACACCGAGTGCGCAGTGATGACGTTGGACACTGTGTCTTAGTTAAGGTAGAAGTTCCGCTTTGTGATGTTGTTCGGATTGGTCATTTGAGATGGTTTGTACACATCCTGCACACGCCTAAAATGCATTTACCACGCCGCGCCCTGCTTGCGCACGCAGGGTGACTGCAAACGGCCGCGTGGAGGTCTACCGTCCAACTAACAACAATGCATGAAATTGATGACATCTCGATTGGTCACCGCTGTCCCCGTACGACTCCCCGGCAAAGGACCCTAAGATAAAGAATGTCAATGGCTCACAACACTGGGAGCAATGGTGCAAAACCGATTGCACTGGAAACAGTGCGCACAAATCTGCTTTATCTCACGGTTGCAAAGCCACCAACTGTAAAAAAGATGAAAAAAGTACAAAATGGGGTGTGTAAGACGACAACAGATTGTTATTCCGATATTTTCGTTCATTATTAAACGTTTAACATGGTTTGTGCCTGTTATTATTCTCTATTCCAAATACGATGGTTTTGAATGGCTCGATGTCTATCTTATAGACCTTTGAATATATATATATATATATATATGGTTAGAGTACATGGGTCGCGTTAACTCCTGGGTACCAAGCGGTTGCTGCTCATAATATTCCACACTCGTTCAAACATTGGATTGAACGATTGGGTGTAGTGATCAACAATTATCCCTGGAATTCATGTACTCTACAACCATTCCTCGCTTTGGAATGCAGTTTGGAAAATCGGTGTTCAAGACCCAACAACTTTTGTTGCAAGTGTCCACACGTTGGCTCATCCGTGTAAGCTGAATAATCCCGGCAAGACCCTGACTAGCGATTAATATGCTGATGTTGATGCTACATGTTCTGTTTCATATATTAGTCACAAGAATAAGTGTAGCTATATTTCCACTTGTACATCGCTCATACTGAAGTTAGGAAAAGTCAGCTATTATCGAGATAAGGTGCGGAAGAGCAAACGTTCCTTCGACAATTTAAATTAGAAATGACCAATCATCTCGATTGACAGTACATTAGTCCAACTGTGGTGTTACGGTAGTGTTTAAATAAATATTTAATTGGAAAATAAATCCAGCACAGTAACAATTGATTTGCTGCGAAGGATAGCTGCAACCGAGATGTATGCTGACAGATTGTTAGCAAATTGTAAGCGGTAAAATCACGATGAGAAATCCAGGTCGCATGGGAATATAATACTTTCAGTTAATCACCTTATCGGCGCCATCTGCCCAGGCACTTGATACCCATTGTTTGTCTACCCTCATAGGATTAACTTTGCAATGCTCACTGTTTTCATTGCCAATCACAACATGTGTATGGCGATTTAATCGTTCATTGTTTTCTCAAGCCATGTCTAAGTTGTTCCATTCCAAACACCTCTGTGAAGATACCATGGTGCCCAGGTGTCCCACGACTTACTCATTTGAGATATTAGATAAATAAATGTTGTGCAAGGTACTTCTTGTAAGTTTGCTAAAACAGTTTGCACACTCTTTCGAAAGTCGATGATAGAACAGCGAGCAGCGAAATTTACTACATGTGTTGGTGATATGATAGTGTCAAGGGGGCCATCAGGAAATGTATGATATTATCGTCTACTAACGCTTATAGCAAGACATCATGTACAATACACAGGAACCATAAGTCATCTGTGTTTTACGGTACATTTAGTTGTGCATCATTCTACCTGGTAACTATACTGATGGCATTTCCTTCCTTATTTCAATATCTGTCTCAATCTATTGTTGATACCCACACTTCTGAATAAACGTAAGGTTGTCGTTTCAGTTCTCATCCAATCGCTAACTAACCACTGATTACTT